ACAGAAGTAGATGTAGATTCCACTCTATCGAGGACATATAATCTCCGAAAGAGCTATAATTATGTCTAGGGAGCGCATCATTGGTTTGATAAATTCTAAGGAAAATAACTAGAAACCATCCTTGCGGTTCATTTCATTGTCATTCACGCTCCTCCGTTTTTAAAAACACCGAATCACTATCTGGAGTTTTTATCTATGGAGACTACTTTGGGTCTTCGCAGCTTGCCTTATTAATAAGAACGTCACTTCCTTATCAAAAAAAGGCACCCCCCATCACCCTCTTGCCACACCCAAACCCCCCAAAGTAAACCCAAAATGTAACCACCAGAACCCTAAGCTAGGTTGTGGCCACGGGTGATCGCCGAAAGCCTTAGGGTCCATTTATTTGAAAGAAAACTATCTCACGAAAATTATTTTCAGACTTTCTTATATTTGGATGAAGGAAAATTAGACAATCTACAAAAAGCATTTTCCATGGATTGAAAGCAACAAGACTAGAATAAGACTTTGTTAATTATTTTCGATTAAACGACTTCCCCTTCACGCAAGAAGAAAAGATTTCGTGCTAATTATTTTCGATTAAATTAACTTAAATAAGACTTTGTTAATGCTTTTTAGTGAATTCGCTTATTATCATCAAACACCATAAACTTGATTCTTTTCATCTTGTTTTGGCATAAACAAACACTAGAAAATGATTTCCTTTCTCTAAAATCGGATTTCCCAAAAACTATAAGTTTTCAATGAGATAAACGCACCTTTAGTGAAATTTGACTCATATACTTGTAGAGTCGGATCCTAGTTTCTGCATGGTTTAGATATGAGCCTCTGGACATTTCAATGAGTTCTTTAATTACTCGGACAAAGCTTTTGTTATCATCAAAATCCTTTGGGGATATTTTCAAACTAACACGGTAAATGGATCAATCCATTTACACTTTCAGCTTCAATCCAGCTCATGGTGTTGAATATTAACTAGATGGAAGATCAAAGTTACATTATACACTATTGATGACTCCAAATAATTTGTATGTCATGCCTTACAAATCTGTAAGAACACGGCCACGAAAATATATCTACACCTCCAAAATGGGAAAATTGTCCAAAAATTCCTAAACCTATTGTACAACAGTCAATTCAGTCCTAAAGCTTTCGATTATGCCAATTTAGTCATAAAGCTTTCAATTATATTAATTTAGTCCTAAACGTTTTGAAATTTTGTCAATTTAGTCATAAACCTATCATTTGGATAATTGGCCGAAAGGATTATATTGACAAATCGTCAAAAAGTTTAGAACTAAATTGATAAATCGTCAAAAGGTTTATGACAAAATTAGCTCAATTGAAAAGTTTAGGATTTTCGATAAAAAAAAAAGTTTAGGATTGAATATACCCATGTACAACATGTTTATGACTTTTCCAACAATTTTCCCCTTCCAAAATGGTAGCAACAAGGTTACTGCTGCTTCATTGCACTCGCCAGCTTTCGGTGGTGTTTACACCTATGGCCTCGCGACCCTAAAATTTGACTAATCTTTTTAATTAGTAAGGTTGTTCTAATTGGTCCGTTATCTTGTTTATCTCGTAATAATCAATGGATGTCACTTTCAAGCCCTAGAGGTCAATAAAATCCGTTTTCTTATTGACCAAAACGTCAAGGTGGTGTACCAATCTTCTACTTCAACTAATGCTTGGTGAAGATAAAATTGTTTATTGTGCTACAAACATGTCAAATTTCAAGTGTCTATAGCGGGTTGGATTTTGCACTAAACAATCAATTAGTCAAATTGGATTTTTCCTATTTGTCTTATGCTCTCCCTTTGTTCAACCTAGGTTATATTTTGCAGGAGTGACCCAAGATTATTCTCATGGATTTTTGTGTCGAAGCAAGGATTTCACTCTTGTTTAAAGGAAGCAATTTGATTGGCCAATAAAAAGTATAGTTTCATTTAATTTGCCCGTGTATGCTATTGGGCGAAATGTCACGGGCAGCGTCTTCCAAAAATTATGTCATTTGATTGGACTTTGATTAAATCTAAAGACTCAAGGACTTACCAAGGTCATTGCGACTAATGAGATGCCTTTCCTCTCATCTCATCTCATCTCAAGATTTACTCATTTTAAGTTCGATTTCTTTGACCTCTTCTTGCAAAAATAGGGGGGTATCGTTAAAAGTGACATTTTCTTGACCAAGTTGAGTTACCCGAAAGGGGGAGAAAAGAGGAATCATATCAGATGAATTGTCCGACTAGACTCTTGCCCACATTAAGTAGAAACTCCTCCTTGGCACTAGCATTAGCATCACTCCACGTAAAAACCTCTATAGAAGTAGAAGTAGATTCCACTCTATCGAGGACATATAACCTCTGAAAGAGCTATAATTATGTCTAGGGAGCGCATCATTGGTTCGATAAATTCTGAGGAAAATAATTAAAAACCATCCTCGCATTTCATTTCATTGTCAATTATCTAGAATTTTTATTTATGGGGACCACTTTGCATCATTACATCTTGTCTTATTAATAGGAACGTCACTTCCTTATCGAAAATGTCACCCCCAGTCACCCTCTTGCCACACCCAAACCCCCAAAGTAAACCCAAAATGTAACCACTAGAATCCTAAGCTGGGTCGTGGCCACAGGTCCTCGCCGAAAGCCTTTTACCACCGTGCCCGCCGTCGCCAAGATTAGGGGTGTGTAAAAAAATCGAGAATTGCCCGAACCATCAGGAATTGGACCGGACCGGACCGGACCGGCCCGGAACCGGCAGTTCCCATGAGGATCGATTCGGTTTCCTGTTCTAATTTACTAAAATCAGTGAGTGCCAGTTTGGTTTCCGATTCTAGACGTGGAACTGCCCATCCGCCCACTCGGACAGGATCGGTAATATATATATACATATATATAATTTTTAAAAAAAATTTCAACCCAAAAAAAAAAGAAAACATTTTTAGAAAAATGAAAATCATAAAATCTCTAATATAAAGCTCGACTCTCAACTTCCATCAATTCACGGCCGCGCCTTTAGCAGTTCATCGCTTCCCTCTCTCACTCTCGGTCATCTCCATTTGCGCGAAACTTGGTGGAACAGGTTCCATGGACTCACCTGGGAACCGGACCGGATCGGCGATCCGATTCCCGAGTGGATCCATGGAACTAACGGGCGATTTCAGATTCCAATTTCTCGGAACCGGTCCTTAGTGGGCGGTTCCCGGTTCCATGTTGAGAACCGCCTGCCCGGACCACGCTCACTCCTAACTAAGATCACTGTCGCCAGCCGTTGGCCCCGCCACCTCTCTCTCTACACACTCATGAATCATGATTGGCTATCAAAGTGATTATTAATATATTCCCTATAATTCCAGTTTTATGGGTATTTTGAGAATTCCAATACTATTCCCTTCTATTGTATATGCCATTCATAAAATCAAACAGTGTAACAAGTATTACATTACTTAAACCAAACGAGAAATAATTACTAGAGCTCTAATAATTATTTACATCACAGCAATTTCATTACTCTAATCAAATGGGCTGCACATGATGTGCTACGCCTTTTTTTGGATCTTAAGCATGACCTACTCGATTAAATGTCACACTCAAAAGCCGTCACGTCGCGCGCTTATTAGTCTTACGGGCCAATTTTAGCATAATCAGTGGTGCCCTTTTGACTTAACTCCACTGATCGGCTCAAACTCAGCCCAATTTTTAGTCTTCTTCGATAACCGGCATGACCAACAACAATAACAATAAGCGGTACAACAAAATGCATTCGGGTATGACGTCTTTAAGACGGGATCGGTCCCCGTCCCTCGAGAGACGTTAGAAACTCCGACCCAAAAATGGCACTTTCTATTTTTTTTTTTTTCCCTACTCTTCATCGACGTGCACATTACTCTGCCTCTGCCTCCGGACAAAAGCAGTTAACCTTATTCCCCTTACTATAATATAATCTTTACCATATAGTCTCCTTCTGCATGTGAGATCGGGTGACTTTTGGTTGCCTCGTTCGCAGCGCCTCCTCCTCTGGAGGAATCCCTTTGGTTGCAAAAGTTAAAGTTGCGATAATTTATTTTAATCTTAATCCCGATCTTTGCCCAACAAAAAGCGAAGGTTCGTATCACATCCCTCGGCGCCCCCCATCATTTATCCCCGCTTTTCCCCCCAAATCCAGAGACACGAAAAAGCGAAAGCGTAAAGTTAAGAAAATGCAAAACACAGATTAACAGACCGACAGTACAGAAATATTAGTGATTAAATTATGTCATTAAAACCGACCGACAGTACATAAATTATGTCATTAAAATTCTACATATTTCGTGTTTATCACAATCGACATGAATGGTTTAACTATTAGTGATTACTCGGAGCCTAGGACGTGAGATGCGTAACTCGCGTTCACATAATTCGTGCTAGCTTAGATTACGTAATAAATGGATTTCATAAGTTAAACTTTACGTCTTTCCCATCATTGAAATTGGGAAAAAAAAAACAACCGAGAAAAGCAATCGAAGTTATCGAGCGTTGAATTTGGATGACACAGATCGTGTATCGGAATTACGGCGCGTTCCGTTCAGAGCAATCTTTCGAGACCCGTTTCCCGTTTCATCGATTCCCATGGACGGAGCGGCGGAGCCTTATCCGATGCATGCGGACGAGCGGGAATAATACGAATTCCCAATAGGATTAGTCCAATTATTAGAAGGAAAAAAAGGAAGTGGGAAAAAAAAAAGGAAGGAGGAAAACAAAAAAAATAACCTACACTGTCACTTGCAACACAATCTCTGTCTCTCTCTCTCTCTGTCTCTCTCTGTGCAGTCTGTGGTACAACTCCTCCTATTCTTTTGCCATAGGAATCATGTGTGAGTGTGAGTGTGTGTGTGTTTCCTCTTTTTACCCCTACCCCCACCACCATCACCAAACTCCTGCCCCCCCCATTTCTTTAGCTTAACGCTTCTTATCCAATTCAATCCCCCACCATGTCCCAGTGAGAAAGAGTGTGTGTGTGTACTCATTGGGCCACCGGAAAAGGGAAGAAAAGAGAGAGAGAGAGAGAGAGAGAGAGAGAGAGAGGGGGCGACATTACATTGTAATATCATCCTCATTATAAGGATCGAGGAGATGGACGTGGGCAGGCGAAGGGCGGGTGTCAAGACGGGCGTCGTTGCGGGGTCGGTGTGGGAGAGCAGGATGAGGAGCGACGAAGTCAGGGGCGGCATCAAGGTCTTCAACGGCGACGAGAAGAAGGCGGCGGCGGAGGAGCCCGCCGAGAGTGGCGCCGGCGGCAATGCCGGCAGAGCCAAGCGAGCCGGGCCGGTCGGCGGGAAGAGGAAGACGTGGAAACCCGAGAGCGGCGGCGAGGGTCCGGCTGTTCAAGTACCGAGTGGGAGAGGGAGAGGGAGAGGTGAATTGAGCAAGAGCGGTGATGAGATGGTGAAGGAGCTGAGTGTTTCGGCTGTGGCCAAGAGGGGGAAGAGGGACGCCGTGTCTGGTGCTGATCAGGGGATTCCGAGAAGCCCAGTTCAGATGAGAAGGTCGAGATCCGAAGCTGTTAGGGGGTCGGTTGAGAAGAGTTCGGTTGAATTGACGAAAGTTAAATCTGGTTCTACCAAGATTTTGGATCAATTAAGAAGGGATGGCGATGATGGTAAAAGTGAAGAGAATGCAGTAAGTGAAGAGAATGCAGTTCGGTTGAGTACGGAGAACTCGGAGCCAACCAGTGTTCTTGATGGATCGTGCCAAGACGAGGAGGAAGAGGAGGAGGAGGAGGAGGAGGAGAAGGAAGCGGAGAAGGAAGAGGAGGAGAAGGAAGCCATTGATGGGTCTGCTGATGGATATGAGGAAGACCCAGTTGGCGAGAGCAAATCGGATGAAATTCGCAAGGAGGTCATTTCAAGCAACGCGAGTCAGGTCAAGTCTGATCCAAAAGAAGCATCTCGTGAAGATGATAACATTAGCAATGATAATGCAGCCAACGATTTGGTCGAAGAAGAAAAAGAGGAAGAAGAATTTTCTGAAGAATTTGAGGAAGAGGAAAGAGAAGGAGAGTTTGATGAAGGTACTGACACTGAGCGTGAGAACAAGAGCTTGGAGATCAAAGAAATTGTAGTGACAGAGCAAAAGACCAGCGATGTTGCTGTGAAGGAAGAGACAAAGCCCATCCAAGTCGCTGAAAAACCCAAATCCATTTCTCCAATTGCGAAGAAACAGCCTTCTCCTGTGGTGAAGCCAGCGACAGTAAACAGAAACATTGCGCATCCAACTCCGACCAAGATCTTCACTTCCTCCTCCTCCAATGTCCAAAAACCTCCTCCTCCCGTCACAAGACGTTCCTCGCTTCACCAAAATTTCGCCACCAAGACCAATTCATGTGAGTCCCTCAATTTGTTTTTTCCTTCTACTGTTCGAGAACTTTCATGGGTGGAATTCTGGGTTTTGTCCCATTTTCTTGCATTTTCTCTGTTTTTGACCGTGTTCTTTCTTTCTTTCTTTTTTCTCTCCCTACAGCTTCAGAAAAATACCAGACTTTTCCAGAGAGACAGAACAAGTTGCAGAATTTAGGTCAATTTTACTTCACTCGCTGGCTCTTGACTTACGGTTCTTCGAATTCTCCTTTCTTGGGATGTCTAAATTTGTCTCTTTTTATGTTTCAGTGGATTTGGTTATGTGGAGAGATGTATCAAAATCAACGTTGATCTTCGGATTGGGAACGTTTGTTGTGATCTCATCCTCCTACACAAAGGACATAAGTTTCAGGTAAAAGGATGTCCCCAAAATTTATGAAATTTCATGAAATTTCACCCACACCCATTTCTCAGAGCAGGAGGATCAAGCTAAAAATTCTCTGTTGGTTTTTCCCTTCTGCAGTTTCATCACTGTGACTTCTTATCTGGGTTTGTTCTATCTTGCTGCAATTTTCCTGTACAGATCCATTATTTGCAGGTAATTTTTCAGCTCACTCCTCGACGTGTGTGTCATGACTTGGCAATTGATCAATCGATTTACGATTCTTTCTTCTCATTGGATTTGTGCAATTTATTTCAGAGGTTATGTAGATATAGATGGTAGCAGCTGTGTTTTGGGAGAGGAAGAGGCGATCTGGTTGCTGAAATTGGTGCTCCCTTACTTGAATGAGTTCCTGTTGAAGCTCAAGGCTCTGTTTTCTGGAGATCCAGGAACCACGATGAAGGTCAATTCAATTAATTTTTGTGCAAGTTATTTTTTCAGATAAATTTAGAAAAAGGGAAGAGAGAAAATGGGAAAATTGTAGCGAATTTGATGGATGGTGTTTGACAATGGCAGTTGGCAGTGCTGCTCTTTGTTTTGGCCAGGTGTGGGAGCTCCATCACCATCTGGAAGATGGCAAAATTTGGTAAGTCCACTAACAAATTTTCGTTTTCTGGAACAGTTAAATTTATTATGAATTTTTACTTTTAACTTTTTTTTGTCTAATCTAAATCATATCACGCACTCACTTTGATTTTTTTTCTTAACCCAAAAAATACCTGAAATATTCACAGTATACCAGTGGTGGTACACAAATTCAAATATAATTTTTTCATAATTCTTTGAGACTTAGTTATATATTAGATTTTATACAGAAAGTGCAAAAAAAAAATCTCTTTTTGACTTGGTAAACAAATACTCTTTCTCAATTAAGCATACAGTCATTTTGGGAGGTGGAATTTGTCTTTTTTCTCTTTTAATTTTTATTATTGGTGTGCAGTGCAACTGCAGACAAACAAGAAGGAACTGTTAAATTCTGAATATTCTGTCCAAAATTTTCTTTCCATCTTTTTCTGTCGACTGACGTTTGGGAGTGCTCACATGTACACTGGGCAAACAGGCTTTTTTGGAGTATTCACCGTACCGAAAGTCTGCTCTTCCTATTCCAGCCACATCACTGCATACGGTAAAAAGCCTTGCCTTGAATTCAAGTGCCCTCTTTCTTTCCATCATTGGAGCATCATCACATTGTGCAGTCATAGCATGAAAATGTCGGTGCTTGTAAAATGCATGCATTCTCAAACCGGCAAGCTTTACTCTCTTCTCCTTTCAAATACCGTAGCTAGTAATAGTCTTTTTGCCGGGCAGTTCAGCCTCCCGTGCAGTTCTTTTGCCGGGTTTTTTTTCCCGCTTTTGACCAATTCAACTTATTCAACCGCATCCCACTTAAAAGTCCAGTTCACACTTCCGTACGGTTTCAAAAACTTTGCCATCAACATGCCTTAAAACATTCGACCAAAAAAACAAAGCATGCCTTAAAACATTCAGCAATGCATAATTCGAAACTGGAAATTTCCTATCAATATGGTAATTTATCGGTACGGTATAGGGTCTTCGAGTACTTGCCTCAACTCAAACATCAATTAACGGGTTAGGACAAGGAGTGAGGGTGGGGAGTCATGATAGTAGCCGTTAATGGGACATGGGCCCTCCTGTCTTTTGGACCTTTTGGTGGAAGAACTGAAAGGTTCGTTCTATGTTGTCTCTGTTATCCAACGGCTCTTTTGTTGGATGATGCTTTGCTTTGGCAAAGTTTTAGAACCGAAAACAAATGAACAGGAGAGGAACAGCTTCTAGTAGTGCATGCTGGACCATCTTGCGTCCTTTTTCTTTGGGTCTTTCTATTGGGGCCCATTTGACAGATCATGTGTCAGCAGATCTCATTGCGATTGGGTTAGGCCCCGCAATTATAGGGTCATTATGGCTCTCACCTGCCCCTGCAATTTGCCTTGCCATATTTTCTAATTTCATGCGAGTTACTTAATCGAGCCAAATCGAGTTGATATACCGGTGAATGGCTCGACGAAACTTTAATATGAAGTTCATGAATTTGTCGTAAATCTATTAATGTGTGGTGGTTCCTTTTTTCCTTGGTGTGAAGGTAAATTTTGGATACGGCGCTTCCGAGATGCTTGGAACTCATGTTCTCACAAGAAAGCTGTGGCGGTGGGCATCTTCACTCTCGTGTGGAACTTATGTTCGGTCGTCGCTCGAATTTGGGCAGGTAAAAACAATGTCATGGAAAAAAAGGAAATTAGTTTCTTTGAATTTTGCATAATTTCTTTTCTTTTTTTCGGGTTTACTAGATGTACTCCTGGACTTTGGAATTCCTCGGGAGTTCGATGGGCCCCTTATGGGCCCACCTGGAAAAACCCCATAAACCCTTAAACCCCCCATTCAAAAAAGGGAAGTTTCAAACTCGCCACCTCTCCATTTCTATGCGGGAATGGTGGCCACTGGGGTTTGCACAATTTCGAAGTTGTGATTTTGATGATTTCTAAGTTTGAACTCACCACCTTCTTTTCCTTTTGGGTTTCAGTGTTCATGCTGTACGTGGCCTTCAGATATTATCAACAGAATCTAGTGAGAGAGGATTGGGCCGCGGACGACGAATGCGCAGACGACAAGTGTCGGGGACAAGTAGGGGGGCGCAAAAACAGCTGTGGGCCCACTATAATAGAATCATCAAAGGGAAAGAAAGCCTCCTAAGAATTGTATTAACCTCTTATAGGCCCAATGAGAAAGCCTCTCATCTCATGTGTGTATCCACGTGATGTGTTCATGCTCAGCTTTTGTAAAATAAAGTCAAAAGGGGAAAAAAAAAAGGTGTTGTGCGTGTTGTGCTAAAGCCATGATTTTGATGAGTCAGCTTCACGAGAGCAGCCTTCCTTTCCCTTTTCTTTCTTATCTCCTTTTTACCTCTCCACCACCCTCTTTAATCACAAGTTTGGTTCAAATCGCAATTTAGTTTTAGGCACGAGGAATCTACGTGTTTCGGAAGCAGTGAATACATTTGCCCATGATTAATTTGTATTAAACATGATCATTGTTTTCTTCATGACCCCAAACTTCGTTCACCAATGAATAAGGAGTCTCGATTCATGATAAACTTGTGTCTGGAATGTGATAGGGAGGCTAATTCTTGCTGGACATGTAAAAAATGTGATCTTTCGTGTATGATAAGTGGTAAAAATGATCTTATAATAAAATCATTATTCCATAGTGTTTAAGTGATAGTCACGAACTTATGGTAGTCATTAATTATCTCATTGGAGTGGTTGAATTGTTCTTCAATTCCAAACCAGTTTGAAAGGCAGGTCACCACCACCTTTTGATGGGAAAATTGTTCAAAAAGTCCTAAATCTATAGTGCGGAGGTCAATTGTGCCAATTAGTCCTATACCTTTTGACAAATTGCCAATTTAGTCCTTAATATTTTGACAACTTACCAATTTAGTCATAAACCTTTCAATTATGTCAATTTAATTCTAAAACTTTTGATGATTTGCCAATTTAGTCCCAAACCTTTTAACAATTTGTCAATTTAGTCATTCCTGCCAATTTTGATCGAAAATCGCTGATATGACAGTCTAGTTAGTGTTGACCATCCTATATGGAAACAGCTGACGCTGACGTGGTTAATTTTTACAATTTTTTAATTTTATAACTTATTTTCTTTATTTTCCATTCCATTCCTTTTTTCTTTTTTTCTTTTTCCCTCTGCCGCTGTCACTAGCCTTAGGCGAGGGTGACCATTGCCCAGGTAAGAGTTATCCTTGCATGCCTCGGCAAGGGTGGCCCTCACTCACCTAAGCATGGGCACCCTCGCTTGAGGCTGGCAAGGGCTATCCTTGCTAGCCTAGTTGCGGGCGGTCCTCACTTGAGGCCATCATTCTTTGTTGGCCATCGACAAGGTTCGGCAATGGAAAAAGTAAAAAGAAAAAGAAAAAGAAAAAGGAAAAGGAAAAAAAGAAAAAATTCATAAAATAAAAAAAATTGTAAAAACTTTCAATGTCACTAGAATGGTCAGCGTTAACTAGACCGTCATGGAAACGGCTGACACTGATGTGGAAACGGCTGACGTTGACTTGGTTAATTTTTACAAATTTTTTAATTTTTTTCTTTATTTTCCATTCCTTTCGTTTTCTTTTTTCTTTGTTTCTTTTTCCCTTTGCCGCCATCACTAGCCTCAGGCGAGAGTGACCCTCGCCCAGGTAAGGGTTGTCCTCGCGTGCCTCGGCGAGGGTGGCCCTCGCTCACCCAAGCAAGGGCACCCTCTCCTGAGGCTGGCGAGGACTATCCTTGCTAGGCTAGGTGCGAGCGGCCCTCACTTGAGGCCATCATTCTCTATTGGCCATCAACGAGGTTTGGCAATGGAAAAAGGGAAAAAAGAAAAAGGAAAAAAAGAAAAAGGAAAAAAAGAAAAAAATTCAGAAAATAAAAAAATTGTAAAAATTTTCCACGTCACTAGAATGGTCAGCGCTAACTAAATCGTCATATCAAAATTTTTAGGACTAAATTGGCACAATTGAAAATTTTATTACTAAATTAGCAAGTTATCAAAAGATTTAAGACTAAATTGGAACAATTGAAATGTTTATGACTAAATTTGACTGTCGTACAATAGGTTTAGGACTTTTTGAATAATTTCCTCACTTTTTAACCAACCAATGACAGACTCATAACCTATCAACAAGTAAGTTCGATCCAGTCCATTTATCACACATTGCTGTGCTCTTTTATTTTTTTAGCTTTTTTATTTTGTCCGGTAACGCCTAAAATTTATGGTTTTCAATGTTGTCGTCCATTGTATAAAAAATTAGTAATTGAATTTTACCCTATATCAAAATATCAATATAGTATGATTTGGCATTCACAATGCATCTAGACATTAGGAGCAAATTTCGTTTAGCAAGAAAATGTCCACATTAAGTAAATTTCATGGGTTATATCGAAATTAACCCGACGTGCTTAATGAACTTGGACTTTAGAGAGAGGCGAGGCCCTAAACTTATTGGAACCTTCAAGATCAAGCCTATTTAATCTCGGCTGAGCCCATTGCTTCCCTTGCTTTGGCAGAATACCCCGAGTTCTAAAAAATAAAAAAATTTGGGTCAGACCTGAGTTCGAAACTTTTAATTTTTTGTTCAGACTAGAGTTCTAAATTAGGAGGTAAATTTCTGAAAAAAACTTGGAGAGGAATAAAGATCTTGAAAATTCGACCGCAACGGAGAATGAAAAAGAAATATTCTGGGCAAGAGAAGAATATATGAAGCCAATGGAAGAAAAAAATATTATAGGGATAAGTGCACTAGAAGTTCTAAAACTTATTGCGAAAGTGTAGTTGAATTCTAAAATTTTCTATAAGTGCAATCAACTCCAAACTGCCAAAATTCAGTAATTAGTTCTGAAAATTAAATTCTTAACTACTTAAAAGCTACATATACATAAATTAATTTGAACTACTACAGGGAACGAGGCCAAACCAAAGAACCAGTATTTTGCCCAAATTGCAATTTCAGCCCAGCTTTAAAACTTTTCAGCAAAATACTGCACTTTTTGATTTTGCTTTAGATCTAGCTCGCATGCGCAAGAGCTCACTAGTTAACAGTACAAGACAATTTTAACTACCCTTCGCCACCTAGCGTTTCATTGATGGATCAAGTGCTGAGGCGGTTGAAGGTGGCCTGCCAGTGAACTTTGACCCTTATTTTCGATCTTTAGACATCCAAGATGTACCATCTGTAACCCCGATCACACTAATTCTAATAGTAGGGAAAACAAAATCACAGTTCTTGTGAAAACAAAGATGATGTATGAACCTTTAAGAGAAATTAGCGGTGAAAAGTCGAGCACAGAAAAAGCCATAAAGGAAAAGATAAAAATAAAAAAGATTGGAGCTTGGCCGACCAAGGAGAAAGAAGCTAGAAGAGAGACCATCGGAGATTGTGTACAATTCCTTTTGCCAAAGTTGCTCCCACAAAGGCAAGTTCTCCATCCTCGTGACGCCGGTGGAGGTAGTTGCCATGTACGGGGTTGTCTTGTTTGACAAGAGAAACTCTCCTCTGGTTCTTTCTTTCATGAATAGAATAAACTCTAGAGCGAGCAAATTTGGTCATTTGATTTGAATCGGTAATCTTTGGTGAACCAAATAAGGGTGAGACTCTCTTATTTGTCGATTATTGGGCATGCCTCCTTATTTGTCTTTCATTGAGCATCTCTCCTTATTTTTTGACAATATGAGATCGCGTCCCCCAATTTTTGTTGTGGTAGAGAGAGAGAGAGAGAGAGGCCAACAAGGATGGCTATAAAGTCGAGGATATGATGATGACGGGAAGCAAACGCCGACATGGGGCTGCACGGTTGTCATGCATAACATTCTTTTACTTTAGATATCACATCCTTTAAAAAATGCAAGCTTACCTTACCAACTAAAATGCAAGAAGTTCTATGGTACATTATCTAGTTTAAAATGAAGGACCTTATGGTAATTCATCGATTATGAAAAGTGCCTTCACATTCCTATTGAATATATCATGTAAGCCATGCTTTGCATGAATTTTATCTTTTATAATTTGAGGAGATTCGTATTGACTAAGGTTCCTATCCTAGTTTTGCTTGTTTGACTTGTATGCAAGTATTATATTTTCTAGGAATTATATTAATGACAATCATAGTGAAATTCTAAATATGAGATAGATGAATGATAAAGAAAAATAAAAAATACCTTACAAAAGCAATATAAACTGAAATATACAGTTAATCGAAAATAATATCTTTAAGTCGATTAATCCTGACAAATGCTCTCCGTTGAACATGTGGTGGACATATGGGATCAAGTGGGAGGAGATCCTACCACTTGCCCTCTCTTGTGCTTTGCTTGGTGATCTTGACAACGTCCTAGTTGCAATTCTTAGGGATGTCGGCGAGCTGGAGTGCGGCCTCCTCCTTGGAGTCGGAGGTCCCGGCGAAAAAGCGCTTCGCATGGCCCAGGCAGCCTTGCATGATGAGCCATTAGTGGATTCCAACATGACGAGGACCCCAATGACGAGCAAGACCAAGGAGATTTTCACACGTTGAGCATGATGAGCCAACAGGTCATGTAGCGGCGGCTCATCCAGTTGGAGATTCGCCCTGCAATCACCGACCCAAGGAGAGAGTCCCCGTCTGGACCTTAACCTGCACATCTTCAGCTCCTTCTTTACATATAGCATCGCCCCTTTCATCACTCCTATCTTTGCCAAAATTCAAAAACAAAAAAAGAAAATCTTATAAATCATCAAAATGTTACCACATAATAGTAACCATACACAAGAAATAAAAAAATAAAGAATAAAAGAAAATATTATGTGCCATATCTTCCTCCTTCTTTCTTTGAATTTATTTTCCAAATATATATGATTATAAGATAAAAATTATGAGAAATAATAAGTGCTTGGACTTTTTCTGAAATTAACTCTCTTGGCAAAAAAAAAGTGGATGATGTTTTCAAAATTAGGTAATTTTTTATTTTCTATGCATTAAAAAATTGACCTGTTGCAGTAGATCTATCATTTTTTATCAATAATAAAGCTAGAAAAAGAAAGTGCAATGACTAAGATATAACTTAATTATTATATCTTTTACAACAGAATTAAGTTTCAAGATATTGATTCACTGTATGAAAAATTGATTTGCAGAGACATATTTCCAAACTTTATGGACTACCATGGGGTGAGTCTTCCCATGCTTCACAACATTGAACGTAGAGAGAGAAAAGAGAGAGAGAGAGGACTGACCAAAACCGAGTAAAATAGAGGTAATGGAGGTCACGACGGCGCATTTTAAGGCGTACTTGTTCGAGAGGGGCTTCGCCGGAGGATTGAAGTCTTGGTTGACTTCAGTTGGACGTTGCCGTCGACCTTAGGATCACTGTATGTGTCTTCTAATATCTGCAAAGCAAGTTAATTGGGACTCAATCAGTGGGCGTGTAGCCGCAATAGAAACTCGTGTTAAATTTAAGCATCTGGCTATAAAAGAGGATGAGAAAAGGAAACTTACATCTATCAATTCTTCGGGAGCTTCTTGAATCTCATCATTGGTGTTACTTTCATTTACTATGAGTGCTTGGTCCAACGCTTCTAGATACTCAAGATTTTCTTCCATTTCCCTCATATCCAATAGCCAAACGACATCCATGACGTTTAATGAGCCACTCAGTTTTTCAATTCCAAATTCAGAGGCTTGTTGTTTTTAGCAAGCTGCTTTTCATTAAATATGTAATCAACATATCGAATATGAAAATAGAATCAACCACATGAGTAACGACTCGATTAGTCAGTCTTGTTCATGGTAATTTCAAAGCTACGAAATACGGTTTCCACATCAATAGTTAAATCGACAAACAATGTGAATCGATTTATGCATGATTGAAGTAACATGGTTTTGATGAGTCGGGTTATATAGTTGGGTTTACAAGATATGGCTCTCGGTTCAATCAGGACATATACATACATGAAGATGCGACAATCATATTGCAAGATGTAAAACACCGGACGAAATGGCTATTGAACTTGTTTCCTTCACAGAACATGCATTCTGATTTCACTAAGACATTTCCTCGAATAGGTGGCATGCAATTTGATTAATGAACTTCTACTGACATATAAGGCAAGGAATCACTATGAGGTCTTATTTGAAACATTGATAAAGCTTTTAACCAGAGACGAATTTCACATTACCCTCAGCCACATTTTCAGACTCGATTAGCCATGCTAGATTAAGAATACTCGTACCTGGCAGATGCAATGACCAGGAGCATTGATTAAACAGAGAACCAGAATTTCCAAGACGTCGTGGCCAGTGGTTGACGCTGTAGGAGTAGGATCGAGCAAAGTCCAATTACTTCAAAGCATTTTGGCTGCGAAACAGAGCGGAAACAGAGCATTGCAATTGCGTCTTAGAAACTGAAGACGGAGATAATCGATGCCTCAGACAACGTTCAGAAATAATGGAGAAAGCTTAAAGACTGAAGGGAATTTTCGATCCAGAAGAATTTCGGCTCTCATTTCTGTGACGGATGTGTACGAACCTCGTTCTCTGAATCCTTAACTCCGGTGGCGTCAGCGAATGCTAGTGACCGTAAATGGCGGACTTCAGCATCGATAAGTGTGTTCTCGAAGGCTCTCGCACTTGGTTCGACGAGAGAAATTTTGTGTTCGAGCGTTCCTCTCACGTGCTCTCTCTCTCTCTCTCTCTCTCTCTCTCTCTCTCTCTCTCTCTCTCTCTCTCTCTCTCTCTCTCAGCTGGGAACCGGAACAAAAATAATTTTCTTCCTTCAGTCCTGCGCCCTCTTGAGATTGATGATCGACCCTGACCGGCGAAAACTCTATAAGCTCTCAACCTCAATGCGCCAAGGATGAAGATCAGGGCCGGCGAGCAGAGTCACTTCACACGTTTCCGGCCAGAGAAACAGAGCAGAGCCGAGCTCTCCGATGCACGGCGTTAGAAATGAATATATAGCAGCGGTGAACAGCATCTGGAGACAGTCAGAAACAGAAAATGCCAAGAGAATCGCTCCCTAGAGAGAGAATTTCTCCGTCGGTTCTGCGTGTGCCTCCGCGTGTGCATGAACAAGAACTGATTCCGCCATGCACATCCCAGACCAGTTCAGCCAACTTCTAGAGAAAGAATCGGGCGACCCATTGACAGTTCACCTCCAGACGTGAGCTAATAGGAAGGAAGGGAAATGGAAACGTGGGCTGATCTCTTAATTATATTGGAGCTAAACGAAGAGGGAAGAACGGGTCAAGCTACGAGAAAATTTCTGAGCTGGAACACACTCAGAATCAACCCCCCTCCTCGTTTGACCCGAATACCCGGATCGGGAGGCCCGGTTACTTAGCCCCCGCGTGTGGGACCGCTCGGACTTGGATTGGAGTAGGATAGAATTGATAAAATATGAGATCCTTCATGTATGAAGCTATCGAATGTCCTGTTCGGTTATATACCGAACATAGCGATGGATACAGTGAAAACCAATCCCATGACGTGTTTGGTGAGTTTGGAGTAGGATTATATCACAGAATAGATGAAAGTTTCTAATAAATGGTGGATCAAGGCTTCGTTTGATAATTTAGAATTTTTAAATAATTAAAGGTGGTAGTCTGGCAAACTTTCATAAAATAAAATAAAAAGAATTGAAAGTTCTGAATGGCAACCGCCACCGCCACGCAAGGCGACCGCCATAGGTCCACAACAAAAAAATCCACAGAGATAGAGGGGGCAAGAGTCAAGAAGGGAAAGAAAGAGAATCATGACCACCACACAGTGTTGGTTGAATTGGTTCAAATTAACTTGAGTTTAATCGCTTCTTAATTTTTATTTTTTCCATTTAGTTGAAATGAGCAGTTTTAGTGCCTTTACAGAACATGTCTTGGCTCGATAACTCAACGAAAATTCACAGTCCACACAAAGTCTAAACTGGCAGGAAAGGGTATGCCTTGCCAAGAGTCTACTTTGCCTCTCATGTGATCATCCTCCGTAGTAATTTGCGTAAGCAAAGTTGGATTGAGCAATGTATGATATAAGTCGAGGATCAAGTACAACCTTTTGTAAAGTAGCAAATTTTTCATGTCAGTTTCCGCAACCGGGCAATTTCATCGTTAGCAAGCCTTAAACTTTGCATATACAAATATTAATACGTCATTAGAGTTGTAAAATAATCTTGAACTGTGTGGATCAAGATGTTTGTTTCTTTGAAATAGCTTGGGGGTGACCGTAACATTCTTCTTTCTGCAAAAGGAACTGTTTGACTTTTGGTTTGCCGTTTATGAGTAGCTTTTACCATTTTCATCTTAGCTGGATATGCCTCCTTAGTAAGAGGTTAAACTGCTTCATTTGGGACCTCGTGCGGACCTCAGCATCCCTTAGACGTTAAACATAGAGAGAGTATTCCCTCCCTTTGGAGAAGATAAAAATACAAGGGGAATAAGGGGAGCTCGGCGTGCGGGTATCGGCACATTAAAATAAGAAATGCAGTCCTATTAGCCCGCTAGGTGTACACACCTCGATAGGTGGGGCGCCCCCAATTAGTGCTTCGGCACCTGCTTTGTGAAGGATACCCTAACCACCAAGGATCCATGGAGTACCCCTAGACGACAAACCAAAAGTCAAACATTTCCTTTTGCAAAAAGACAAATGTAACGGTCACCCTGAGCTATTTCAGAGAAATGAACATCTTGATCCACACACTTCAAGATTATTTTGCAACTCTAATTAATTTATACGTTTCCATTCTGGATCACTGTCTATCAATGGCAAAACAGAAATTTTTAGCATATAAAATAGCTTCCGAGGTGCAGGACTTATGCTATCTCGACACAAAACTATTTCTCTAAATTCCTCTTATGGAAAAGAATCACCACTAGATGGCATCCACATTAGCTAAAATGGAAATTAAGTAATTCTTGAATGCTAATCCTAAGCAGGGCTCGTCCAGAAGAGGACCTGGCATTCAGTAAAACGTAAATTTCAACAACAAACAAAAAAATCAGTAAAATGTATGGATTTGATTGGTAATTTTAAATCCTGAATAGAACGTGGGTGTTCAACGTGGGGTTCTCCGTTTTTGGCTACAATAGATGACAATTTCATCGGCATTCATGCCCCCAAGTACCATGTGAAATTTCAAGACAAAAGCCATGTTTCACAAGCAGATGATTCAGCTTGGCAGAGGAGTAATTTGTTCCTTCCAAGGGAGTCTCTCTATAGTTCTTTTGAGTCATCATTTAGATCAGTGAAATGAACGGAAAACAACCTTCAGGAAATTTTTAGATTTTCCGGCATTCGTTTAACGGAAAATAAACTAATCATAAAAAACATTTTTCACTAATGGAAAAAACACTTTCAAAAGAGCAGAAAATATTTGCCGTTTCTTCTTTCACCTCATTTTTTTTAAAATAACACATTTTTCTTTTTCTTTTTAAATCAATTTTTTTTTATTTTTCCCTTTTCTTTCTTTATTTTTTTCTTCCTTGGCCGCCCACGGCGGCGGCGGGTGATCAACCACAGGCGAGCTCTAGCCTTGCCACAGGCTGGTGAGCCAGGCGAGGCTCGAGCCTCGCCTGAGGTTGCCAAAGCCTCATCAACGTCTGGCGACCTCGGGCAAGCCTTGAGCCTCGCCTAGCTCGCTCCATCGGCCTTGGGCGAGCTCGACCTCGCCCGCCTTGCTGGCCGCCGTTGTGGTCAGCCAAGGAAGAAGGAAAAAAAAATTAATGGAAAAAAAGAAGAATAAAAGAAAATTAATTTAATAATTACAATAATTTACAAATAAAAAATAATTAAAAATTTTGAATTTGTTTGATAATTTTCCCTAGAAAATCGATTCGGATACCAAACAGCAAAAAAATATTTTTCATGTCATTTTCGGGTTTTAGCCGAACATCGGAAAATATTATCATTTTCCTATAAAACATTTTCCAAGAAACGTTATATTTTTCGCGAAATGAAGAGAGCCTTAATTATTGAATTCTTCTGTTATTTTAGGCATGGACAAAACGCAAGGATGATTGATACTGACGGAAGGTATCATTACTTTGCTTCAGGCTGTCAAGAATTTAAAATCTCGCGTAGATCACTCTCTGAGATGGAGACGGACGAAAGCGAGTTTGATGGAGCTTTTGCCGCTGCTATTGGAATCCTCAAGCGGATCCATACCATTTTTTTTTTCATTCGTCACCGTTCTCTGGCTTTATAATTGTAGACATCTAAATTTTGGGCTACCATACTTTATTGCATGAGAAAATTAGGGGTTGGTCTAAACAAGTATACCATTTGCATAACTCATATTTGCATCACAAGTGAATTGCATGGCCCTAGCGCAGTGTTATCACGTACCATCGCACGCGTAATCGAAGGGACTCCTTAAAGATGTGATCGGCCGTGGCGTGTTTTAAACTCAGCACTCAACTCCTTGTCGATGAAATTTGATCTCCGGTCGTTATCCGGTTCAACGATTATCCATAGCTAATAACTCTATCCGCCTTTGAATCGTTACCAAACCATGTTTGATCTATAAAGGGAGGTTGGTTTGAACTGTTATTGCTGGGTGACGTGCTCGGCCAGGTGAAGATTTTCCCGTGAGAGTAACGAGATCGAGGACAAAGAAAGAGATTGTACTTCGATCTGTCTCGTCACCGTCGAGATCTTTACCCCACGTAACAGCACAAGAGGGAAGTTCGTAGCAATGGGTTTTGGATGTCAGTTCAAACAGGGGATGAGAAATTTAAAAGAAGATTTGACGCAGAAAATCTCGCTAGATAATGCTCGTAAGGAGAGATTTGCGAAGAGGAAATCCTCTGGAAGTCTTCTTTTCTGGGAGACTCGTTACTTCCTCCTCGTCACGAGCTCCCTTCTTCCATGGCGACCATCTCACGCTGCCGTGCTCCGTCGCCGCCGCAGGGTCGCCGTCGAAGAACTCACGGTCTCTCTTGAAAAGAAAGCTCTCTCGCTGGTGGGTCAAGCTCAGAACCCGAACAAAATCTCTCTCGTCTGAAAAATCTCCAGAGGAAGCGAACCCTCTCAGTCCGACGCCGCCGCTCGTCGGCCTGCGTATTTGCGCCCAGCTCTTACCGGCTCTGCTTCGTTTTCAGGCAAAGAAGGGCTTGAAGCGCTTGGATTTGGTTCGAGGCTTGTCCACTGGCGTCAACCACCAGGGACGGCTTTCTTTGTTGATTTCAAGCCGTCGTAGCCATCTCCGACCGACGTTGTCCACTATTCTCGGAGTCGTGCAGTTTCACCCCTGTTTTACTCTGTATACTGATCCGAGACCTCGAAGAGCCCCCTCATTCTTGCTCGATCTGCTTTTCGTCGTTGATCGATCCTCACCGCCGAACCATCTGAGAACTCCATTCTTCAATCTGCACATCGTTCGAAGCTAAAAGCTCGAGGTATGTTGAACATAAACTCATGTACAGTCTTCGGATGCTTTTCATGTTGAACAATGACCGAGAATTCTAATTTCTCTTTGTGTGAAATTAAATTGCTATTGAAATTCATTCGTTAACCCGAACCTGTAATATTGTCGCTGTGATGGTTTGGTTGTGAATTTGCTATTTCACTGTCGCATTTGGACTTGTAGCCGAGATGCATACCTTCTGTTCGATGAAATGCTCGACTCAAATTAGAGTCATTTAGTTCATTCTCGAGCGTGTCTTTTACTAGCTGAGAGCCAGATGTAGTCCGGCAACAACTGAAACTGAACCAATATTGAAAAATAATTTCCAAATTCGAGTAGAGTCATATGAATCCTCATGTCCATTTGTTTGTTGATTGAATCTGCTCGGTTACACCCTGTTTTTTACGAAGAAAAGTAAGATAAATTTTCGTTCAGAATCAAATCAGTCCTATTCAAGTTTACATCACTTATTACAGACGTTTTGAAAGGATTTCATATAGATTTGGTCCCTACCCGAGCTTGTTATGCCTTTTTTTTAATCCCATCAAATGCATGTGATGTGTTTGATGAAATGTCTCAAAGACGCGACTGAAAAATGCTCCGTGATATTTTGGATCCAAAAGCATGTCAATAAAGATTGCTTGTTTTCAATCGATTTGTTCAAGAAATTAGACCTGATTCCAGTCATATTTCATCATATTCAAATCCGCATGTCATTTTTTCAAGCTGTTCAAGGTCTTTGTTTTGCATATGACCCTGCGACGTCCTTGTGGCAGCTACCAATGAGGCAATGACTTGGAGACAATGATCTTTGTTTACAGTACCGTCGAAGTTCGAGTTGGCTTCTCTGTCGCAGCCCATGTAGCACGCTTATAGTTCGTATTCTTTGATAAAATCTACATCCATGCCCACTGGTCGGAGGTGGCAGCTAATACAGGTAAGTGACTAGAGGCAAGTGACTGATGATTCAGCAACAATGCTTGGTAGGATAGTGATTAGGGTTTGGCGACGGTAGTAGGAAATGACATTTGTGGTAATAGATTTATTTTTTGGTCGGATGTAGTAATAGACTTTTGGTTTAGTTCATCTTTAGAGATTATTGATGGAGGTTCCAAAAAATTCAAGGGTTTAGGCTTGTTCACTTGAGGAAGACGACAGGAACGAAAGAAAAGCAATAAAATGGATAAAATAGAGAAATAAAAAAAAAGTAAAAAATTCTGAATATAAAAAAGTGGAAAATTGATTAAAAAAATAGTCCTTAATTAGGTTGTTAGATTTTTAGTATTGGAATTAGTTTAGTTTCATTTAAAATATATACATGCTTTAGAAAAATTCGTGATTTTCTCTAGTTTAGATATAAGAAAATTAGTTTATTTACAAAATTGGATTCAAATTGAACTAAGTTCATGGGGATTGCTACCTAGTGCTTAATAACAAGGTCCTGTTTTATTCTTTGCTCAACTTCTATCGAATTACTTTACTGCACTATACTCTTTACTTGTTCTTTCCCTACTATTTTTGATGAATTGATTGTGATCATTTTATATTGTTTTTTCTGTGCTATGTTCAGTTTGTGTTAGTTGAATGGTTAGGTTACACTTTAGGATCATAATAAACACAAAAAACATTGATACTTAGCAAACAAGAACCTTACGACTCATAATTGAATAAGAGGACCGCGTGGATACCTTAGTTAATAAACAATCAAGTTTAGGTACCGAAAAGGTACTAGTTAGAAAACTAGTGTAATCAAGTCCCTGAACCTAGAAAACTCTTGTTGCGTAAGAAGTGAGGTGTACTTCCATACCTCAATTGGTTTTTAGCTGACCCCAATATGCTAATGGCGACTCCTCATTTAGAATTCCCGTAGAGTTTACTGAATTAAAATGAAAATCCCAACGTTGCGCGAGGTAAGCATTTGGGAAAACTCACGCCGATTAAGGGTCATTGGTCAACTTGGCATTACCACTAAACCCGTCATTTCCCAATGACTGCATCGTAGTAAAAGGTCGCAACACATTGGCCAACTAATAAGGAGGATCTCTCGACTCCAGTAGCGAACAAATAAAGAGTGTTCGACAAATCAAGAGGGATGCCCAATGGTTGACAAATAAGGAAGGTCTCTCCCTAATGGTCCACAAATAAGGAGAGGATGACAAATATGGAGGGATGCCCAATGACCACAAATACAGAGGGGCCGACAAATAAGGAGAGTCCTTCTCAATGACCAATGAATAAGGAGGGCGATAGGGAATATGGAATTATTTTATAGAGTAATTGGGCGTGATAGCGTATAGATGGAAGGAGTGTAAAAGAAAAACCTAAACCGACCCAGCCTGACTTGAATCGAAAATTTCGAGTCATTTCGCTGTGGCGGCGATGGAGCACGGTAGCGTAATTCCTTGTGTTTCTTCCCATGCCACCTCTCCAATCCCCTATTCTCAGCGAATCCTGATCTCTCGGCCACCACACATTCATCTCTACATGTCCTGCATTGCCGTAGCTCCTCCTCGAGGTGAATTTTAATTACTACAGCAAACACGGCCAAACCAAGGAACTTGTATTTTGCCTAGTTGGCAATTTTAGCGCAACTTTAAAGCTTATCAGCACAATATCGCGCCTTTTGATTTCGCTTAAGATCCACATGCACAATAGCTCACTAGCTTACATTACAATATAACTTTAACTATGGCATTTCATTGCTGGAATCGAGTAAAAGGCAGTCGAAGGTAACTCGCCAATGAGCTAGAATCAAAATGTCACACTGACAAGGTCGAAATTTCGAGCAAAAACCACTTAAAATCAAGGCAAACTTCGACCCTTATGTGTGTTCTTTAGGCATCCAAGATACACTATCTGCAGCTTCAATCACACTAATTCTAACACTAGTGAAAACAAAATCTTGGTTTTTGTGAAAAACAGCAATGATGCATCCTGTACGAGAAATTATCAAGGAAAATTCGAGCTCAGAAAAAGCCATAAAGCAAAAAGAAGGTAAAGGATTAGAGCATGGCCAACCAAGGAGAAAAAAACAAGAAAAGAGAGTGTTGGAGTTTGTGTACCATTCCTTTTGCGGAGTTGCTCCTACAAAGGGAGGTTTTCCATCCTCACCCCACCAGTAGAGGTAGTCGCTGCTTTCGAGATTGTCTTGTGGACAAGAGAAACCCTCCTTTGGTTCTTTCTTTTAAAAATAGAAGAAAATAAAAAAATTCAAAAAGTATTAAATATTATTAAAAATTATCCACGTCAATGTCGACCATGCCACGTAGGACGTCCAATGTTTATGCCATCGATTTCCGGTCAAAATTGATCGAATGGACTCAATTGGTAAAACGCGAAAATGTTTATGACTTAATTGACACAATTAAAAAGTTTATGTCTACTAACAATATAGGAAAAATGAATGCTAACGATATTACAAACCCAAGTTTTTTCGGTCAGCATCAAAATATCACCAAAAATATCAAAGTTTATCAAAAACATGAAGTTAACTTAGGACAACAATTACAAATACAAACACAAATCAAATACGAATCACTCTCTTCTTTTCTTGTAGGATGGATGTGTAATTGAGGGTTCATGATTAGCCTTAAGCACATCATAGCACTTCATGAAATGTAGAGTATGTTCGATTCTGTTTAGGAAATTTCGATAATCAATATACATGGTTTGAAGAAAATCTGTTAGCTTAATCATATGTTCAATAAGGCTTCTAACATTATTTTTCAGCTCAATCAATTCAAAAGATTCTTTATGCTTTTCCCCTCCTCTAGAAGAGTTCCCCCGAATTTTATCCTCCTTCTGCTTTATACTCTTCCCTTTCCAATTAAGCTCTTCATCTTGAGTTCTATGAATTTCAGTTTCCTTTCCTACAGTAGATGAAGGTTCTGGTGTCTGCTCTATGTCAGCTACTTTCTTGGTCTTCTTTAGAGTAGAAGCAACCGCCTTCTTCTTCCTTTTAGTAGTACTATGAGTAGGCATGACAGATTTTTCTGCCTTAGTAGATCCTTCATTTTTGGTTCTTCCCTTCTTTAGAGTTTCCTCTGGAACTTTCTAGCCAGTTTATCATCCCCATCTCCAATCTCCACAACCTTGTTCTCAGCATTTATCCATCCCTTGAAGTGGCTTTTAGATGCATCTTTCTCATGGTCTCTTCAGATTTCCATATGGACCCGTTTTTCTTTTATGAACATTTCTAGAATTTCAATACCCTTGTCCATTATAATTGGGGTAATCGGACCATCATAAGGTAGCTTTCTAGACCTCTTCATGAAGCACAAAGAAGAGGGAGAGTTTAATGAGAAAAATGGAGAGTTTAAGGAGAAAGAAAAAAAGAGAAAGGAGAATAAGACTAAGGGGGAATCCTCCATAGGCGATGAAAAGTATAACGAATCTTCTGAATTGAGTGAGTTGAAAAGTGATCTCAGAAGCCTCATTGAGCATATTACCGAGCTGACAAATTTTCTTCAAATCATGCATATTGGTTTTGGGAATTACCTAGATAGAATCGAAAATACTCTACATTCCATGAAGTACTATGATGCACTTAAGGCTCATCCTAAGCCCTCAATGACACCTCTATCCTCCAAGAAAAGAAGAAGAGAGTGATTTGTATTTGCTTTGTGTTTGTGCTTGTTAATGTTGTCCTAAGTTGACTTCATTTCTTTTTAAACTCTCTCTTTTTCTCATTAAACTCTCCCTTCTTCTTTGTGCTTCATGAAGAGGTCTAGAAAGCTACCTTATGATGGTCCGATTACCCCTATTATGATGGACAAGGGTATTGAAATTCTAGAAATGTTCATAAAAGAAAAACGGGTCCATATGGAAATAGGGAAGAGACCATGAGAAAGATGCATCTAAAGGCCACTTGAAGGGATAGATAAATGCTGAGAACAAGGTTGTGGAGATTGGAGATGGGGATGATAAACTGGCTAGAAAGTTCTAGAGGAAACTCTGAAGAATGGAAGAACCAAAAAGGAAGGATCTAGTAAGACAGAAAAATCTATCATGCCTACGCATAGTATTGCTAAAAGGAAGAAGAAGGCGGTTGCTTCTACTTTAAAGAAGACCAAGAAAGTAGCTGACATAGAGCAGACACCAGAACCTTCATCTACTGCAGGAAAGGAAACTGAAATTCCTAGAACTCAAGATGAAGAGCTTAATGGGAAAGGGAAGAGTATAAAGAGAACGGAGGATAAAACTCAGGGGAACTCTTCTAGAGGAGGGGAAAAGCATAAAGAATCTTCCGAATTGATTGAGCTGAAAAATAATGTTAGAAGCCTTATTGAACATATGATTGAGCTAACGGATTTTCTTCAAACCATGCAGATTGATTTTCAGAATTACCTAAACAGAATTGAACATACTCTACATTTCATGAAGTGCTATGATGTGCTTAAGGCTAATCTGAAACCCTCAATTACGCATCCATCCTCCAAGAAAAGAAGAGAGTGATTTGTATTTGATTTGTGTTTGTATTTGTAACTGTTGTTCTAAGTTAACTTCATGTTTTTGACAAACTTTGATGTTTTTGGTGATGTTTTGATGCTGACTAAAAAAACTTGGATTTGTAATATTGTTAGCATTTATTTTTCCTATGTTGTTAGTAAACATAAACTTTTTAATTGTACCAATTGAGTCATAAATATTTTCACGATTTGTCAATCGAGTCCATCCGGCCAATTTTGGCCGGAAATAAATGGCATAAACACCGGCCGTCCTACATGGCATGATCGGCATTGACGTGGATAATTTTTCATAATATTTTAATATTTTTTCAAATTTTTATTTTCTTTTTTATTTTCTTCTATTTTTAAAAGAAAGAACCAAAAGAGGGTTTCTCTTGTCCACAAGACAACCCCGAAAGCAACGACTTCCTTTGTCGGTATGGTGAGGATGGAAAACCTCCCTTTGTAGGAGCAAATGCGGCTAAAGGAGTGGTACACAAACTCTAACGGTCTCTTTTCTTGTTTTTTTCTTTTCTTGGTTAGCCAAGCTCCAATCCTTTATCTTCTTTTTGCTTTATGGCTTTTTTCTGATCTCAAATTTTCGTTGCTAATTTCTCATAAAGGATGCGTCATC